CCGAAATTATAAATCTTAATTTTACTGAAATTATAAATCTAATTTTGACCGGAATTACAACTTATAATAAAAGTTTGACAAACTCGCAAATTTAACATAAAGATTATCATATGATTAAAAGTTTGGATAAGTTTTCATTATTTAGTACATATTTTTTTTTTTTACAAATATTTTATAATCTCAAAATTAATATAATCCGGAATTACAAATTTAATGTCAGCCGGAATTATAAATCTTAATTTTACTAAAATTACAACTTATAATAAAGTTTGGCAAATAAAGATCATTACATGATTAAAAGTTTGACAAACGGATTTGTTTGAAGTTCCTTCATCACTTCAAACCCACATTCATTAAATCCTATCATCTCAAACACTTTGGCAAGATCATGTGCTTATACATTTTTATATTTCGAAAAATGAGGCATGTTCTAATGACTTTATTTTAATAAACATAAATTATTATAATTAAAATTATACTAATACATTTATTGAAATCGATAATCCATATATTCATCTTTCGTAATTGTAATACAAAAATCTCCAACCCTAAACCATTGTTCCTTTTCGATTTGCCATCTTCTATACCTTTCTTCAAAGTCTTCAAGACTTTCATCTTCTTCGATACCCCACCCATCTGCAAATCGCTGTTCAGATTCAGGAGGTACTGATCTACATTCAATAATTATAATTTGCATTTCATCAAATCGTGTTGGTTTAACTTTTGCATCTTTATTTACTGTCTCTCTATTTTGAACAGCAACCGACATTACATGTTGAACCGTAATTAAGATTCCTAAGGTTTCAGCAATATCTTGATAATATTCTTCTTTAAAAAGTCCCAAGTATGAAAAACCTGGAGTACTAGGATCAGAAAACATATTGATTATTTTTTTTTGCAAAATATTTTTGTTTATTATTTTTGAAAAAATTTTTGTAGATAACTTCTTGAAAGTAAACATAAACATAACTTTTATATAATAAATAGAAAATTACAAATTTCTATATTTGGATAAATTGTTGTTTATTATTAATTCAAAAATAAGAATATTCTTAATCATGAATTTATGATAATAAAAACTATATACTTTAACTTATTACTAAATCCACCTATAATTTTTAAATAATGATCATAAAGCACTAACCTTATTTACATTAATATCACAAACCTCCTGTGCACGAGTTTTAATAAAATTGTCATTATATTTTCTTGCAGCATTAATGATATGATAAAGACAACTTAAATAAATTTCTGGGCTTATACGTAAAATATTACATATCTCCTTTTCACATATATGAAGATCATTATAAAAATGATAACTCGAATAATCCCTCATTTTACCTAATCGGCAAGTTATATTTACCTTTGGCATAATAATTTTTGAATAATCCAAATTTAAAGATTTAACCAATGAAATTAAATTGGATTGAGAATCGGATAATAATTCATTCGATAAATTATTTGATTCAATATAATTCTCAAGAATAACTTGTTTCAAAAGTTGAGAATTTTTCATATAATTATCATAGATAGAAAATCTCATAATAACACCAGTACCATCATTTCTTGTGGTATATGTACGTGTTGATTTATGTTTAGAATAATAATTCATCGTGTTTACCAAAAAAAAATATATATATATCATTGTTGTATTTATATCAGTTCAACTGTACTATTTATAGAAATAAATTCAGATAACCTTATAAGGCTATCTAATAATAATTGATTATCGATACAGTAATTTTAATTAATTATGTAATTTATGTAATATAAATTGAATAACCATATATGGATAACATTAAAGATTCGAATAATAACCAGTGGTACGTAATGTATCAAGAAAGCCCTTTCACAAATTATCTTCATTCCTACATCGCCAAATAAACTCTAATAGATGATTATCAATAAGACCTTTGTTATGATTTCTAGATCGAACCTTTAATTTAACACCACCCCAAGTACCTTCAATAGTATTTGTGTGTGCTCCCGTCTCAGGATCTACAAAACATTCATTATAATTTACAGTCATGTGAGTAACCCCCAATTCTTCAAGATCTTTATATTCTCTCCAACAATCGGTCATTATTATAGATCCTGGTTTAACATATCTCACAATAATATCTTTAATAATATCAGCATCTCTCTTTTTCACGACTCTCAAAAACATATTTCTTTTATTATTATGTTCAATACTCCCAATTACCCATGCATCATCAACCAACCGACCTTTATGATACTTTCGAACACCAAATTTTGACTCATCTATCTCTACAATCACATCTTTACTACCGATAGCATTCTCCTCATCTTCAAGTGTACTAACCACCAATTCACGAAATAATTGCATATATCTTGTGATTGTACCTGATAAATGACCAGTAATTTTCGAAATAACTGTATGATCGGCTCCACATAACCAATAATAACCAATAAGCATTGTATTTGAGCAACTAATACGACCACCCGAAAAGAATGAGTCTTTGTATATCGATACAGATCCACGACACTCATGATTATTACATCTGAACCATTTTCCATCTAAATGAACTGCAGAACTACATTTCAAACAAGATTGGACCCTGTATAAAATATTTTCTTTGAATAAAAATTCGATACATTTATTTTCGTCATATAAAATTTCTGATATGGTTGTTAAGATTGGGATTGACATTTTTTTAAATATCCAAAAATACATGGTCACATCCCTTACATTTATAGATCTTTTCTTAGATCACGTCTATCGATCGTGGTTCTATAACCACATGGACGTCAATACTTTGTATAATAATTCAGAACCTTTGCCTCACAATGAAGCATCATAATTACAAAAATTACAAAAATAATAATTGATCGCATTTTTTTATTGAGAAAAGAAAATAAAACATGTCTATTTATACAGGAATAAGAACCCTATTTAACAATTGTTGAATAATATGTATCAATCTAGATACCTGAGCTATGGAAACAAAACCTACGATAAAAATTGAAAAATTTTCAGAAATAATTCTTTTATTATCATCTGGCACATGTTCAACAAATCGATCAGAATACATATCGATCAAATCGCTAACTTCGATAACCAATTTTTCGATTTTCTCATCCGTTGGTTTTTTTCTAAATCTATTAAATACCACAGAATTGCTAAATGATATATCGATACCAAGATTTTTTTCCACGTCTTTCTTGAATTGAAAAGGATTTGTATCAAAATACCATACAATATGATCTACTATATCTTTGGGCAAAAAATCTTTTTCACAAGGTACGCAACTAATATAACTAACTTCTGATTTACTTTCAAACTTGAACTCATTAGTATCTTCTATATTATTTTTATCATTATTGTGATCATTGTAACTATTATCGTAATCGTTATCACCATTTTCAATACTAATAGCATGATCACTATTATTATTAATGTTATCTCCATTATTTCTATTCAGATCTTGATCTACATGAAAACGTCTGTTAAAAAATTAATCAACAAATTCAAAAAAATATATATTATTAATTCTCACTTTTTATTTTCAATAGTATCATCATCACTGTCATCATAATTATCTAGGTTTCTTTTGAGTAAATCAATATCATCTCTTACACCTTTAACCATTGAATACATAGCATTCATTATGGATGCTATAGCTTGAGAATTTGTACTATTTAAATCAATATATCTAGTCGCAGTGATAGTCTCCAATACTACACCAGGTGGGCCTTTTAAATAACTATCAGTATCACATTCATGGCCAATAGAATATCTTTGAGCCTCATCTGAATAATTCTTATATCTCAAAATTCTATACATTTCATCAAGATCATTGACTTGAATATAATAATAAAATCCAGTATTAAATCTGATATATCGATTTCCTTGAGTCGTACTGATCTGAGTTACACACCATTCTTTATCTATATTTCACAAATCACAGATATACACTTCTTGATCACAGTCCGCACATTGAACTTCATGAATCTTATCATATACCACAAAGTAATTTTTTCTTATTGAACTATGTATCAAATCATTCAAATCCTCAAATACTGTATCAGCAACTGGTCATCTATTCTCCTCTACATTAGAAGTCAGAAGCTCGCAAGTCATAAATATATTAACTATCAGAGTTCTAACATGGAAGGTTGTCTTAATTGGATTAATTTTTATCTTATCATTCTTCTCCCTACCCTGATCGACTGACAAAGGAAGTGCAATCCGACTTGAACCGGTATCATTTCTATTTCCATACACCCTAACTCTCCAAAGAGAATAAAAATCTAACACGAACTTATTACGTGTATTATTGTTTACCAGTATATCTTGAAATAACATATTTGAGATATAATACATTGAAGGTCAATATAGAAAAGTCAATTTCTTTTCAGTACTAAGTGGCATATTATTAACATCTCGTTGATCGAACACCTTTTGAATCACTAAATTATATTTTCTTTGACTTTCTGATTTTGGTCTCACCCCGCAATGTTTCTCTAATTCAGATAATTCTGGAAAAATTGGTGGACAAAAGCTAGGTTGAGGTTGATGAGCCATTGTTCACAGTATGCGTATTGGTATTCATTGGTCGGAAACAATAAGAACAATTCGAAAAACAAGAACCCTCTTTTCCAGGAAAACAACAAATACAGCTATGATTACACTTAATTTCAACCCTAGCAATAGTTGTATTGGTTGGATCTGATGAAACCTTTTTCTTTCTAGTCACACTTGTCTTTTTTGTAATAGATTTAATAGGTTTCTTTACTGATTTATCCTATCTCTTTACACCTTGTTTCTTCAGAGCACCTTGTTTCTTCGGTCGACCACAAGAACTCTTAGTTGACGCCAGATTGTATTAAACCCTCAATATGATTGATTAATGATGTAAAAATTTTTTTTGCAA